ATAACATTAATAATTAAAAATTATATATAGAAACATAATTAATGGAGGTAGTTTAATGAATCTTATACATAATCTAAATATGTATAAGATATCTATATTTATATCTATATATTGATCCACTCATAGATTTTCTTCTATGTTAGCTAGAAATATGGAGGTGAAAAATTAATTAAAAACTATAATAGGAATATATATATATATATATATAAAGATGTAAATTGAGATAACCTATGACTATTTATACTTTGGAGTAAGTTAAAATATAAAATAAAACTAAAAATTACTTATGATATTAAAGATTTATTGAGTTTAAAAACTAAATAAATTCAAGCAGCAAAATAAGATCTTACATAAAGTATACAAATTAATTATAAGATAAGAGAAAAATTAAATAATCAGCAAAAGATATTTTAATAAGAAGAAAAATAAATTCATATTAATATTGATAAATCGTGCAAACGAATATTTATACGTAAATATTACTACAACATTTAGATATAATGTATTCAAACAATTAAGAAAATAGTTTTCTATGATTAATAGTTGAATTGAGTTTAGTTAGTGTAAGTTTGAAAGCATACCATAATTTTTTGAAAATATGGTCCAATTAAGAAAATAGAATGATAAAAATTATTTGAATTTGAGATGAGAAAGTATTTTAATTTTTATCTATATTATATTAGAATGAGTGTGGTAAAAATAGATATTAAATTCAAACATGCTAATAAAAATTCACATGACAATGTAATAATATTAGGTATTGAATAATATAAAATCAATAATAAAGAATAAATAGAAAAAAAGCTAAGATTTTTTATCATAGGAAAAAGTGTAAAATTATTTAAATTTGAGATGAGAAAATTTTTTATATTATAATAAGAAAAGTCATAATATAAGTCCACATAACTCAAGTCTAATAGTAAAATAAAAAACTAAAAATATTGAACAATAAAAATAAATTAGAGATAATCTAACGATATTTATAAATCATAAGTTTAGAAAATAAAATAAAGTAAATATACAGTACTTAAAAATATTATTAAATTTTAAATAATTTAAAATTTTCGAGCAATATTTTTGAAACAAAATAAATATTTATTTTATAATTAAAAAATTATATATTTATCTTATGTTATTAAATAAAAGTAGCTGATAATGATATTAAATAAAGTTACGAGTTAATGAAAAGCCACATAAAACGTAATAAAACTATATATTAGATTAAAAAAATAGGAAAATTATGTTAACTTATTAGAAGTTTATTATTAGAAATGAAAGGAAAAGAAAAGACTATTTGAATTTAAGATTAGAAAGTTCTTAAAACTACGATACGAATGCGCAAATTATGAATAATACCACGAAATTGAAGTCTTATTTATGAAAAATAAAATAATAATAAAATATAAATTTTAAATTATAAAATAAATTTCTAATAAAGGTAATTTTACAAAAAAAGTAAATTTGTATCTTAAAACTAAAAAGGAAAAAAAATTATGTAAAGAAGTAAAATGGCAGTGAAAATATTACTACAATATTTAGATATAATATGTTCAAACAATTAAGAAAATATTTTTCTGTGATTCTGAATCGAGTGCAGTTAGTTTGAGTTTGAATGCATAGCATAATTATTTGAAAATGCAGTCCAGTTTAGAAAATAAAATGATAAGAATTATTTGAGTTTGAGATGGGATTTTTTTTGAAAATATTACGCAAAGAATTAAAATGACAATAAAAATATCATTACAATATTTAGAAATAATGTGATCAAAAAATTAAGAATTTTTTTTCTATGATTAAATAAATTTTTAAAAATACAAAATAAATTTCTAATATTGGTAATCTTAATAATAAAAATTAAAAATTAAATTTTATCTTAAAGCTAAAAAGGAACAAAAATTTAACTGCATCTAATACAAAACTAATTATAAGAGAACTCAATACATTTGGAACAACAACAACAACGACCCAGTATAATCCCACAAGTAGGGTATGAGGAGAGTAATATGTACGCAGACCTTACCCCTACCCCGAGGGGCAGAGAAGCTGTTTCCAGGAGACCCTCGGCTCAAGAAAGCCAATACATTTGGAACATGATAATCAAATAACTTATGTATTAATATTTTAGACTTATGATTAATATCTGAATCGAGTGTAGTTAGTTTGAATTTGAATGCATAGCATAAATTTTTGAAAATGTGGTCCAGTTTAGAAAATAAAATGATAAGAATTATTTGAGTTTGGGATGAATTTTTTTTTTTAAAAAAAATATTACGTAAAGAATTAAAATGATAGTAAAAATCTTATTACAATATTTAGAAATAATGTGTTCATAATTTTTTTCTATGATTAAATAAATTTTTAAAAATAAAAAATAAATTTCTAATATTGTTAATCTTAATAATGAAAATTAAAATTAAAATTAAATTTTATCTTATATCTAAAAAAGAAAGAAAATTTAACTGCATCTAATACAAAATTAATTATAAGAGAACTCAATACATTTGGAACATGATAATCAAATAACTTATGTATTAATATTTTAGACTAATTAAATTTACAATTTAAAACAAAATATGATATTATTTTGGTTATAGGTAAAATATTAATATAAAACTAATTAACATTTATAGTAGGAAAGAGAATGTATATTAAAAAGAAAATAGAGGTAGTGTGAGGATACTTATACTTTAAATTAATTTTAATATAGATAAAATAAAATAATTAATTATATTTAAAAATATTATTGATAATTTAAATGATTAAAATATTATGAATAAGAGGATAAAAGCATAAAAATATATCAAATTTTGAGAATAAAAAATTTATTTTATCACATACTATTAAAAGGATAATAAGCAAGACATTAATTTAATTATAAGCTAACAAAAAATTATATGATGATATAATAATATGAAATATTAAATAATACAATAACTACAAGAAAAGAACATATTTGACTTCCTCATAAAAATAAAGTGATTGTAAGAATTTTGTTAAAATAATATAATCTAATGTGCTCGAACAAGACAGATCACAATATGACATGTTTAGTATTCTTTAATATCGACAACGGAACGAAATGCAAGTACTAAAATCAAGGGGTTAGGTTGCTACAAATATATGTTAAAAAGATTGATTGTCTACTACGAGATTTGATCAATAACTTCATATCCTGCTTCATAATTAAATTCTCATATTATATAATTTTTATCTGAGAGATATATATTTTAAGGTTATTTGTACATGATTCAAACAACATACATCGCAATTTGAAATATTTTAAGATACTAATACTAGCAGTGGCGGAGGCAAGATCTCCACGAAAGGGGTTCAAAATTTTATTTTGTAGCTAGTGGGAATTGAACCCATGACCTTACGTAGATTTTGAACCCCCTTGACCACTAAACTACACTTTTGGATTATGTTAAAGGGTGTTCAAAACTTAATATATAGAGATAAAAAACAGATTTTACCTTATATATACAGTGTAATTTTTCGGCGAAGGGTGTTCGCTACGCCCCCCTAAATCCGCCCCTGAATACTAGTATATATTAAAGCAAGAAAGTTTGTCTTTCTCGTTCAGCCAAGTGGCAACATATTAAAAAGACATATGGCAACTTAATTTATTAGAACTTAATTATTAAAAATGCAAGTTGGAACAGCCAAATTTTTCGGCCTAGCAACTAACTAGGGAATCCCAAATTTATTGCCTTTGTTTTGTAAAATTTCCTATATTTAAAATTAAGATTATCAGATATATCGTATTTCATATCTCTAAGCCAGATTTTTCGGCATAACAACTAATTTTACACCCCTACCAGTAGGAATCACTTTAAAGTAACAAAGAAAAAAAATACTAAGGCTCTTAGAGAGCCGTAGACTCTGCATTTGCTATGTAGTAATTATTTTTGTATGATTTTGCTTATGCTATTTCTCATAAAAATCTAAATATGTGTGTGAAGGGAACCGATCAAACTTTGTATTTGTGTTCCCTATTTATTTAATATGTACAAAGTATTTTTTCATAATTATATAAATAAAACAAATTTAACAAGAACTCATAACTAAAAATTAATCCTGGCTTTGCTCTGTGCGTGCAATTATTTATGTGTTTGAAACAGAAGTAAAATAGGTTTAATGTGGCTTCATGTTTTTTCCCTTTTTGTTCAATAATAAAAAATAGTCAAATTACATTTAACTAGATATTGGCTTATAAATAAAATACATATTGAATATATAACAGAAGAATAATAAAGGTTTGTTGAATGTAATGACAAAAGTAGAAAGAAAAAAAAACGTTAGGAGTAGTAGCTTAAACTTAAGAGCACTAGGGTATATCTATCTTTCTTTAAATTAAAAGGATTGGGAAATACAGAAATCCCAAAATGGGTAAGCCTGTTAGTATATATGCCTCTAAAAGAAGGCCGGATTTGCCGCTCCTCTCTCTCTTCTTAAAAAATTCCCAATTCTTCTTCGCGCTCTCTCTCTCTTCTTAAAAAATTTTCAATTCTCAGCAGAAATCCATTTTAGAGGCTACTTGGACATGGAAGGTCAGAAGAAACTCGCAAGAATAAACAAAATATGCATACAAAACCAAAAGCGGACTAAACACTTCTCCGATCTAAATGGTAAAAACTTATATTGCCACGCTTAGTTTTGATGTATTTAACATTTTTCGTGTTATAAATTAATCATGTTATCACAGATATGGTATTTCATATCTCTAAGCCAGATTTTTCGGCCAAGCAACTAATGTTATGGGCCAGATTTTTCGGCCTAACAACTAACGAGGGAATCCCAAATTTATTGTCTCTCTTTTGTAAAATTTTCCATATTTAATATTAAAATAATACTAAAATATGATATTTCATATCTCTAAGCCAGATTTTTCGGCCTAGGGTATCAAATTTTCTCTAAGAAGAAATATGACGGCATTTGACTATATTAACAATATATCAAGTAACAAGATGAGTTGGAATTTAAAGGTACGAATAGTGAGATTGTGGCATGTTCTAGACCGCGATAAATCAGACAATACCGTCTCCCTTAAATTAATTATTCAAGATGAAAAGGTGTATTCTTTTTTAGTTGCATTTATTTTTTCAACCAATTTGCCTACAATCTCCATCTTCTGCTTTGTACTACGAAAAAGTGAAAAAATAAACTACCAAGGTTTTGTGTATTGAAAAAGTGAACTATCTTCGGGCCAACTTATCTGAGCTTTATCTTCAGTTACAGAGATGTTTATTCCAGTGAAAATTTGATGACATTGAAACTTGAAAACTGCTGTTACTGATATGAAATACAATATTTTAGTATCTAAACCCGTTCTTATTCGAAAGGTCCATTAGTTTTGGTTGTATCTATTTTGGTTGTATCTATCTGCTTAGAAAGTGTATATCGATATGAACTTTAGTTTTCTTTCTATATCATGTGCTAGATATACTCAATGACAACACTATACAACTAAGTATTTGCTTGACTCAATATTAATTATGAATTATTTGTTTTTAGGGCGATTGAATTCATGCGACTGTTGGTCGGTCTTTTATACGTATGCTCAAACCAAAGATAAAAGAATTGAGTTTGTATTTTATGAAGAACTTTATGGTTGGACCAAATTATATGAAACTTAAATACTCGCGGCATAAATTCAAGTTGGCATTTACTCATAAGACGATTTAAGAGGAATCAAATGATCATCTTTTTGGTATGAGTATCTTCGACTTAAGACCTTATGAGTATTTGTTAAACAAAATTGATGTTGAAGAGAGTGAACTCTTCGGTAAGTATTCCATTCGCAGTTCTTTTATTTGAATGTCTTATCAGCTTTGTCCTGATCATTTTTTTTAAAACTATTATAGATGTCATTGGAGAGGTTGTAAGTTATGGTGAAGTAGAATCACATAACCAAGGTGATAAGACCAACACTTTTATGAATATGGTACTTGAAGCTCATGAGTAAGATTGCGTCTATGAATTTACTTTTTTATATATTTTAACATGATTACTTATCGGTGTCTGATTAAGTTGCTATATAAATTACACAGGAGGAATAATATCTCGACAATGTTTTGGGGAGAATTCGTAGACCAGATCTTGCCACATTTATCCAGCCTTTTGGAGGTAAAACAGTTGTTCTTGGTGGCGACTTCAGACAAATTTTGCCTGTTATTGCAAAAGGATCTAGGCAAGATATTGTTAATGCTACTCTTAATTCTTCGTATTTGTGGACCACTGTGAAGTCTTAAATCTAACAAAGAATATGAGATTGCATAGAGATCAGTTAGATGACATTTGGATGAGTTAAGAAATTTTTCTGAATGGATTTTGGAAATCGGTGATGGAAGGATTGGGAGTTCCATTGATGACATTGAGAAGATCCAAATCCCTGATGATCTTCTCATAAGTAATTGTGATGATCCAATATCCGCAATTGTTGAAAGTACATATCCAGATTTCTTTAACCATTCCAGTGACATAGATTACCTCCAGCAAAAAGCAATTCTTGCTCCGACTCTTGATATGGTGGAATCACTCAATGAATATATGGTTTCACTCAATCATAGTCCTGAGAAGACATATTTGAGTTCTGATACCGTTTGTATGTCTGATCATTCTTTTTCAGCTTTGGAACACGTACATACACCAAAATTCCTAAATAGTATTAAATTTTTTGGAATTCCAAATCACTCTATCACTTTGAAGGTTGGTGTTCCTGTGATGTTGCTGAGAAATACAGACCAGTCATCAGGATTGTGTAATGACACGAGGTTGATCATCACAAGACTTGGAAATCGGATTATTGAGGCCAAGGTTTTATCTGGTAATGTGGCTGGACAAAAAGTGTTTATCCCGAGAATGACGTTGACACCATCAGACGCAAGAATACCTTTTAAGTTCCAGCGAAGACAATTTTCAATTGTTGTATCTTTTGCCATGACAATTAATAAAAGTCAAGGCCAGTCATTGTCTCATGTGAGATTATTTTTGAAGAAGCCAATATTTACTCATGGACAATTATATGTTGCTCTTTCACGCGTGACAAGTAGAAAAGGGTTGAAGATTTTAGTTTATGATGATAATGGCCAAATAACGAATGAAGCTAGAAATGTGGTGTATAAAGAAGCTTTTCGTAATTTAGTTTGAGATGAAGCTAGACATGGTGGAATTATCAGGTATTTACAATACATTTTTCTTATTTCTGTAATTGCTTTAGCTTTTGAGTAAATATTACTATTGATTATATTTTTACTGTATTGTAGTTGTAAATGAATTGTTAATAATCATATAAAATATGAGAATTTCCTATAATAAGTGAACCTGAGTACTAATCCAAAAAAGAAAAGAAAATAAACAAGTGCAGTCTAATTTTAGCTCTGGAATTAGTGAATGCCTCTGTGCGTCTTGGGTGACATAAAACATAACCATTTTAGGAGAAATAGGTTTCTTAGGAAGATATTCTGAATTATAAATTATAGGAAGACCGATTTAGTGTTTTTCTTGTACATGAGAACATATGGACAAACCATACAAAAGACAAGGAAGAAAGAGAGATCAGGTCCAGACTCTTTTCACTTTCAATTATGAACTCCATTGTGGCAGATAGAGTTCTTGCATTTGATTATCCTCTCGAAACGTCTACAGATGCCAAATACTACATTGGTATAAAATAGACATCAAAACAAGAAAGTTGAAACATATTGATATAGGACATAGCAAATTCTTGTCAGATTGTTATATCTTATTAGAGAGTATGGTTGGTATGAGAAGTCTTGACTAATCTCTGATCAAAAGATTCATAATGTCACTTTACTTGGACAATCAAATAGTCTCAATTCTGCAATTTGCTATAGAAATACCTCCACCTGTAAAAAGTGTAAATTTGAATAGTTCTTTAATGGTTCTGCTTTAGCTTTTTGGCAGTTTTGCCTACTTAGTTGCTAGATATGAGGTTATTTTGGAGAGTAAAGTTTATCAGAGAGTAAAGTTTCTTACCTTTTTTTTCTTTATTCCATTTAGCTAAAAGCTTTTTGTTCCTTATGCTTGAGATTGAAGCACATTTGTTATTGTTGTACTTTCAGTTTTGAACTTACTAAAAGATGCACATATATCACTTAGACAAAAGTTGAAAAGATCAAAGTATTTTTCCAAGTGAAAATGAAGGCCATGATTGTTATATCTTATGATATCTAATATGATTATCTTGCTACTGATGGAAAGCCTTCTAGCGACATGTGAAACTGAAAAACCAATTGGATAACTTCCTATGATGCATGTGCCCAAGAACTCCATGTTTTCTTGAAATGATATTTTCTTTTTGCTTCAGCATGTTGCTCTTTGCAGGTTTATATAATGATGATGAAAGTTTCCAAATAATGTTTGAACTTCGTATTCTTTATTTAATTGTTTACAAACAGCTATTGATATTCATTTTCTAGGTTCATGATTTTGGCTTCTTTCGCTAAGACCCTGGTGTCATACAATTCTTTAGTTATGAAGAGATTCCTCTTGCTCCTGATGCTGCCGCTGTAGGTGTAGAAATCAGGGTTGTTGGTAATGACAACGATGAGAAGGTATGAAGTCTTGACTAATCTCTGATCTAGCAGTTCATAATGTCACTTTACTTGGACAATCAAACAGTCCTAATTATGCAATTTGCTATAGAAATACCTCCACCTATGAAAAATGTAAATTTGAAAAGTCCTTTAGTGGTTCTGCTTTAGCTTTTTGACAGTTTCACCTACTTAGTTGCTAGATGTGAGGTTATTTTAGACTGGCACTTTTGTGAAATTGATGTATTGGAGAGTAAATTTTCTTACCTATTTTTTCTTTATTCCATTTAGCTAAAAGCTTTTGGTTCCTTATGCTTGGTATTGAAGCACATTTGTTATTGTTGTACTTTCAGTTTTGAACTTACTAAAAGATGCACATACATCACGTAGATAAAAGACTTGAAAAGATCAAAGTATTTTTCCAAGGAGATGAGAACAAAGCAGAAAGGACACAAGTGTGATAGAATATCAGCAGAAAAAACAGTTGAACTAATGCAGAAAAAGCCAGAAGTGTTATAAATATATTATATTATGGATGTTCATTTAGTACCCCGTTGTAAATAAGCTTCCTGAAGAAGCTTATCCATATGGGACTCCGTTGTAAATAAGTTTATCTATTTAGTACTCTATTGGAAATAAGCCTCCTGAAAAAGCTTATCCTTTCGGTATCCGTTTATGGATAAACATTACTTTCGGTAGAAGATTATTCATACTGAGTATAATAAGCTTATCCTTTCGATATTCCATTTATTGATAAATATTACTCCCGATAGAAGATTATCCATACTGGGTATAATAAGCTTATCATTTCGATACTCTGTTATGGATAAACATTACCCCCGATAGAAGATTATCCATACCAGATACAATGAGCTTATTATTTCAGTACTCCATTATGGATAAACATTACTCTCAGTAGAGGATTATCCGTATCTAGTATAGTAGCAGCTTACATAACAGCTTGCAGTAGCAGCTTACACATCAACTTCCTTTCTTCTATAAATAGAAGAGATTTCAGTTCATTATGTGCATCGGGTTGAATTCGAATAATATATCAGTTTCTCTCTATACTTGTCTTTACTTTACAGTCTTTATTTTATAACATGTTATCAGCACGAGACTTTGCCATCTCAAGCAAATACTTTGAAAGTATCTAAGGTATGAACTTTTTTTTTCTATATAATGTCAAATCTTTCTAAACTTGAATTTGTAGCCCTGGATATATTGGGCAAAAGCTACATATCTTGGGTGCTTGATGCTGAAATTTATCTTGATGCGATGAGTCTGGCAGACACCATCAAGGATAAAAATCAGGCATCAAACCAAGACCGTGCCAAAGCAATGATATTCCGACGCCATCACCTTGATGAAGGTCTGAAAATGAAATATCTCACTATTAAAGATCCAGTCATACTATGGAATAGTTTGAAAGATAGATATGACCACCTGAAGATGGTCGTTCTTTCACAGGCACGTTATGATTGGACTCATCTAAGGCTACAAGATTTTAAATCTATAAGTGAATATAATTTTGCTATGTTCAGAATTATTTTCCAATTGCAATTATGTGGTGATAATATTATTGATCATGATACGTTGGAGAAAAACTTTCACCACTTTTCATGCCTCGAATATGCTCCTGCAGCAGCAATATCAAGAGATGGGATTTAAAAAGTATTCTGAACTTATCTCACATCTTCTTATAGCCGAGCAACATAATGGGCTATTAATGAAAAACCATGAAAATCGGCCTACTGGTTCTTGTCCATTCCCTGAAGTGAATGAGACGAACTTCCACCAAGCTAGACGTGGAAGAGGTCGTGGCCCCAGTCGGGGAAGAAATTTTAATCATGGTAATAATAATGCACCAAAGAAACCTCCTCACCACCAGCAGTGGAAAAGGAAGGAACAAAAATATGAAGCGGTGCAAACACCAAATGCAAAAAATGCATGCTATAGATGTGGAGGAAAAGAAAACTAGTCACGTACCTGCCATACGCCAAAGCATCTGATTGAGCTTTATCAAGCCTCCCTAAAGAAGACAGAGAAAAATGTTGAAGCAAATTTTATTTCTGAAGATAATTTAGACTTCATGCATTTGGATGTAGTTGATTACCTTGCACTCCCAGAAGGAGAAACAAGTCATGTAATCGGTGGTGAATATGTAAAAATATAAATATTTTAATTTTTGTTGTTTGTAATAGATAGTATGGTTATGTAATTGTTGTATATAAAGAAAAATTATGATTTGATAATTATGTTTACTATAATATATCTTATTTATGTCATTTTGAAGAATATGGATAGCATTATTAGATCAACATAAACTCTAGCAGAGTTTGCAAGAAATATACAACCACCAGAAGTGGTTATATTTTGTATATCTCATTGTAATTATATTTTATTAACCACCAGAAGTGGTATATGCCTATGATCACCAGAAGTGATAATTTAGGCTTTCTATGGTTACAATTGAAGATAAGCTACATAAATATTCTCTATATTAAATGCACGCCTCGATTTACTCCTGAAGTAGCAAATATTTTAAAAGAGAATGAGGCATCACAATTTGATGTGATTAATGCGCATTCAGATAATTATGTTTGATTTCCTGAAGGATGAGAACTTTTGATAATATTAATCCATTCCCTGAAGTGAATGTGAAAATATTAATAAATCTGATAAATATGAACGCGCTCTTAATGCGAATATATTACAATTCACCTCCAGAAGAGGTAATATAATTGAGAGAATATATACTCAATATTTCGTATTTTAAATTTGCTCCTGAAGAAGTAACACAATTGAATTGCCTCCTGAAGTAGGAAAATATTATGAAGAAGAGTTTTCTTGTGCTTAAACAATTGTTTTACATTGTTTATTTGATTGTGATTTTCTCTTATGATACCAGAAGTATATGAGAAATATTTGATAGTACAAAATGTATCAACAACTCCTGAAGAGTTAACTGTTTGCCTAGAAGACACATGACACCAGTAGTGTCTGATAAATATTAGATTGTGGATAATAAATGAAGGCTCTTGAAGAGTTTATATAAAAATATGTCATTCATATTATATGATTATGGTCAAAATATATGTTGTAGTAAACCTGAAGTTTACTGATACAAGTGGTTATCATATTGATACTACAAATGATTGGAAGATTGAAAATCTTTATGTTTTCACAATCATAGGGGGTAAAATAATATGTATGTGAGAAGTTACCCGCCTTATTCTTCAATTTGTATTACATCATGTATCATAGTAAATCAGAAGTTTACTAATGCAAAAGTTTATGCCATATTAAACTAGAAGTTTACTAAGAGATAGCACATGCCATGATAAACTTGAAGTTTTCATTTGTCATTTTTAAATGAGCTATTTGAGAATTATGATAAGCATATACTGAAGAACCAGAAGATTCTTCAAGAATTCTCTTGTGCTGCTTGTTCTCATAATATTATATCGGCTAAAGTTGGGACTAAGACCCCTACAACAACAACAACAACAACAACAATCCAGTATAATCCCACTTAGTGGGGTCTGGGGAGGGTAGTGTGTACGCAGACCTTACCCCTACCCTAGGGTAGAGAGACTGTTTCCAAAATAGACCCCCGGCATCCTTCCCTCCAAGAACTTCTCACCTTGCTCTTGGGGAGACTCGAACTCACAACCTCTCGGTTGGAAGTGGGGGTTGCTTACCATCAGAGCAACCCCTCTTGAATATATAAAAGGTGAATTTGGGCTCATTCACCTATCATGTGAACCACTTATAGATGCATATATAAGATGGTTACATGTATATTTATTGTCAACCTGCAGTTTGGCATTTGAGATTGCTTTTCTCAATTAAGAGCATAACTTTCAGATTATGAAATCAAGACAATTCATCTTGATAATGTTGGTTTATATCCAAGCTGGTTTAACATTGAATACCTCCTACTAATGGCTAAACTATTGCTTATGAGAACAAAGCTTTATGTGTTGGTCTAAGATATTCTAAATTACATACATCAACATTTGTATGCATCAGACCAACAATATATGTTAAAGACCTCCCCTAACAATTGATTTAGGATCAGAATCAAATATTTTTACTATCTTTTGGTGTGTGGTATATGATTAATTTCTCTACCACAATACACAAAGATATGTTTCTCAAAGAACAATGGGGATATATGTTAGTTTTTATAACATTTGGGGGATGGAATAAACAGCTGAAAAATATGTTATATAAATCAAATTATCATTAGTATGATCCTCACTCAGAAGATAATTCAAATCAAATGCCAGAAGCATTTGCTGATCCAAAGTTAAATATCATATTTCAGCTACAAATGCTCCTATTAAAATTAAAGTCCCTGAAGGATAGAGTGTATTATACGCATGAAGCGTGGTAGACCAATCGATTCCAAAGGTAACAATCCTTGAAAAATGATAGGAGCTAATGATCAAAATGATCATAATGAGGAGGAAATGAGCTCTAGAAAAGCCCACGACATAACATTTCATGAAACTCCAGAAGAAGTTCAGGTATCTGAAAATAAAGAAAGTGATGAGATCTCAACAAGTTATGTCGCTTAGGAACTAATACAAAATGATCGTCGACGATATATTTGATACGATATAGTGCACAATATTGTAAAAGATTGTGAGGATCGGAATAGTATTCCAGACACTTGAAGATGTCATACCATTTAGATACAAGTCATAACCTATATGACCTATTTGATTAAATCTATATGAAGATCCTTGAACGATTTAAAATGCCTGAAGCATATAATTCAAAGTCTTGAAAAAATATACTCGATCAAATTATAAAGATCTTTGTACGGTTTAAAGCAACCTGGGCATGTGTGGTATAATCACCTCAGTAAATATTTGCTGAAAGAAGATTACATAAATGATGTTATTTGTCCATGTGTTTTTATAAAGAAAATGTCATCATAATTTGTTATACTTGTTGTTTATGTTGATAACATAAATCTTGTTGGAACTCCAGAAGAGCTCCAAAAAGGCAATTGAATATCTTAAGAAAGAATTTGAGATGAAAGATCTTGGAAAAATAAAAAAATTATCTTTGGTCTGCAAATTGAATATTTAGCAGACGAGATCTTTATCCATCAATTTGCCTATGCAGAAAGGGTCATTAAATGCTTTTACATGGATAAAGCGCACCCATTAAGTACACCAATAGGTGTTCGATCACTTGAAGTGAATAAAGATCCGTTCCGACCTCCAGAAGAGGATGAAGAACTCCTTGGTCCTGAAATACTCTATCTTAGTGAAATTGTTATGCATTTATGTATCTTGCTAATGCTAAAAAATGTGGTGTAGATCGTATTGGTTATGCAGATACAAGATTAGAACGTGGAGACTCAAATATTTGAAACAAGGTTTTCATCAGGGGGAGTAAAATACGCGATGCACTCTTTTTTCCTTACTAAGGTTTTTTCCCATGGGGTTTTACTTATAAAGTTTTTAATGAGGCACCTAGCAATGTGTATTACTGAATATGTGTACTCTTTTTCCTTCACTAGGATTT